GAACTGAACGAGGAACATACTCTACATATACATTAGGGTTTGCGGAAGAAACGCCAGGAAGCATTAAGACAGTTTGCGACTTACTGGTTAAAGAAGCCCCAGCAAGACTACCCCCAGCCCCCACAACAGTAGGGAGGGCGTCAAGGGGAATCGGGTCAACGAAGTTACGCCCAATTCCTACAAAAAGATAAGACAACAAGACAAGGAAGATTACGCGAAAATAGATACAGCAAAAGAAATACAAAAAGTACCCACACAAAGAGAAAACAACTTACAACTGGAGGCGGGTTCTTTGCACAGTACTCGGAGACGGTAAGCGGGACAACGCTTGCTCCTTTCAACATCTTCTGAAGACGCTCGAGTACCTCCTCGTCGGTCAACTTAAGGGCAGGGACCATGCATGAATGATCCTTAGCCCCAGAGTACTCGAAGCCAAAGTTCTCTTGCTCCTTCAGAGGCTGAACACGATGGCAAAGAAAACTCGAGACAATTCTAAAGCCGGTCAAGCCCTGCTGCTTCAGAGTGCTTATCCGCTCAAGGAACGACTAGATCTCCTAGAGCTCATCCGACGTCAGGGAGTTCTTTTCCCACCGGTCGTTAACCAAAGGACCAGATCCAGAATGAACGACGAGAGAAGGAATCAAATTAGTGGCATAGAACCAGTCAGCGCGCCAATCCCTCACAGAATCAACTAGGTCATAGTCAAAGAATTTGCTTTTGAAACTCTGGCAAAACTAAATCCTGCAGCCACCAAGAACATTGGTGTCTTCACGGCGGGGTTGAGGCTTCAGACGAAAGAAGTGACGGAAGAGAGAAAGAGAAGGAGGAATTCCAAGGAAAGCTTCATAGAGATGTACAAAAACAGAAAGATGGAGGATGGCATTGGGAGTAAGATGGTTCAAAACAACCCCAAAATAACCGACAAATTGATGAAGGAAGGCGGAAGCAGGAAGGCAAAGTCCAGCACGGATAAAGGAGACGAAAAGAATAATCTCACCAGGACCTGGAGCAGGGACCCGATGCTCACCTGGAGCTCTCCATTCAGCAATGTCCTTGCTCTAGATCAGACCATCGCTAACAAGCTCGTGAAGCTGGTCTTCAGTCGTTGTCGGAGCCGGCCAAGCCTTCTGGGCAGCCCTCATGGCCACGAACTCCTGGTTTTCGATCACGGAAAGTGATGACTCCTCGTCCACGAAGGCAGCCTAGGACTTGCTCACAGCTTTCTTCCTACCCATGTACTAGTGGAAGCAAAAAGGCACTAGGAAAAGATGAGGCTAAGACAGCGGCGCTCAGATAATGGCGACAATGGTGGCGGCGGATTTCTAAAAACTAGGGTTTCAAGGCAAAAGCGGAGCAGTAAAGAAGAAGAAGATAAAAGACCTTTAAATAGATTTTACAGTAGTAAAATGCGGCCCACCGGGCCCGTAAAAGCACGATGTGAGAATGCAACGGTCCATTTACTAACATAGCTAAAATGACGAAAGGCACAAATCCACATAACGGTATAGTTCAATGGGTATATTTCGGACTTATCCATCCAGCAGAACGGCAGAGCTATCATATTGCTACAAAAAAGAACTCATCAGCCATGAAGCAACGAAAGGTTACCTCACAAGGAGCATAACAACCCACTCCTTATAGAAAGAACTCGAGAATCTCAAAAACAACCAGGACATCAGCATGGTAAAGAGTGACAACTCAGAAGACAAGATTATTTCCATTACAAATGACTTCAAAAGATACAAGATTACACATCTTACAAGACCCAACGAACTCGATACTGCGACAGGCAAGGTAGCAAAAAGGAACCCGGACACAACTAGGTTCTGGAACGACTACGTGCTCCAAATTGCTACTCGATAGAATAAGCCACACTCGGCTACACTGTTTTCTTCATAGGACGGACGCAGTGCATCCAAAGCGGAAATCAGCAGTACGGCGAGACAACATAGACCAGGGGAAGTCAGCAGGCATCTGTCTACCCAAGTCCGATGTGATGCCGGATATGGTGTTGATCTGCACCGGACAGTCTCAAGATAGGCGGCGAAGATGAACCCAGAACTGCTGGATGAAGGAATGCATCCCACATCACAAGACTTCCTCCAACTACCGCCACGTACTTTCAAGTATGAAACCGCTGCGGGATTAGTCTACCTCTAATCCCTATCACAAGACTTCCTCCAGCTACGACAAGATGCACAAGAACTACAAAATACGCCCGGGGGCTGCTCTACTTCACAAACTATCATATTCATGACTACGGGGATTTCAAACCACACAACAAAGTGCTCGATAAATCAAAGCAGCACACAAGGAGGATATTTATAGACAAAGAAGCGGTGCACATAGACCGGGAACACCAGCAGAACAAACCTAACAAAAGACATAGTGAAAAGACAGAATTCAATAAAAGAAGACTCAGGCGTGAAGGAGCAGTACTCAACAACAAGCATATTCGGGAGAATATACCAACACTGTACAACCCGTGAACAAAAGGCATTTACACTCAACCACCACCATACAACTACATCTGACAACAACGAACTCTACATCTGAAAGTAGCAGACTCTACATCTGACAACAATAGACTACCAGAGAATATGCCAAGATTCCGTATCCGAGTTCTTTTTGAAGAATGCTCGGGGGCTGCAACAGGGGAAGTTTTCAGTTCTTTGAACAACTCAAATTCAAGACCCTCCAACTCTTTGTTCCAAATAGCAAGAGGCTCGGGGGCTACACTCAGTGAGTGCACTTTTTTTCAAAAAGCGCACATCACTCAAAAGAATTCTTCAAGACAAGAGTTGTAAAACAACATAGGATTCAAGACCCTCGGCTACTCTTCGGCGAAGGATCAGAGCAACTCCAAGACATGACCCTCCAGCTACTTGTTTCAAATAGCAAGAGGCTCGGGGGCTACACTCAGCTGGATGCGCTTTTTTCTTCAAAAAGGCACACACCACTCGAAGATCCCAAAAAACGCTACATGGTTTTACTCAAGAAAGCACTCGGACGACGCTTGTTTCTACTCGGCAAAACCTGAAAGAATAAGACGAGGCTTCCAGAGCTCAACCATGAAGTGCTCGGGGGCTTGTCGATGCGGGACCCACGGGATACCCTGCAAGAAAGAGAGAAGATCTAGTCTAAGTAGGTTTCCTTTCATGTAATCCTAGTAGTAGTATTGTTCTGTAATCCTACTAGGAACTCTCATTGTAAACCGACTAGGACTCTGACCTCCTGACAGTATAAAGGAGGGCGGGGTTCCTAGCGGAAAGGAAGATACAACACAATCAATACAACTCAAGGGCTAACGCCGACTGGACGTAGGGCTATTACTCGATCACGGTCGAGGGCCAGAACCAGGATAAATCAACTATCTCTTGCGTTTACCGTCGAGTTCTGCATACGCTGAAGCCCGAACATACTGCCCCGGGGACCCCGTGGCAGGCTATTGGTGGTGAAACATCGACACGCTCATAAGATTATATGCTTCACCAGAAGCATACAACCCTATACCTTAAAATATAGAATTATGAATTCAAATATTTCAAAAAAAATATTCAAAATGAATCTTGAATCGTACACAAAAATGTCAGAAGTCTAATGGTAAAACCCGGTTTTTGAATTGGATGCTTTGTTAAAAAGTTATCAAAAAACAAAAGAGAATTAAATTAGGATGCAAACATACATGCATGTGTCAGCTGGTTGGAGGGAGCACCCTTTTCGTGGAAGGTTTCTATGTATATCGTAATGTTTCTATTCTATGCCATAGATTTATCAGGCGTCGGAGACAAGCCCATGGCTCGCTAGGAATGGCCTCCCATATGGCTTCCTAGAGTATAGATGGCCAACGGGCCAGGCCGGCACGGTACGGCATGGGCCCGTGCCAGCACGGCCCGATAGCCAACGGGCCGGCACGGCACGCCGTGCCTCCCGGGCCGTTCCTCACAGGGCCACGGGCCTGGCCTTCGGCCCAGGCATGACCTTATGGGCCGATTTCCGTGCCGGGCCGGCCCGAGAAGCACGACTATTTTCACAGGCCGTGCCAGCCCGAGGCCCACTGAGCGAGCCGCGTGGGGAGGCGAGGCGGAGGTGGCCACCGGGGCTGGGAGCGGCGGAGCTCCGGATCTCAGGGGCAGGAGCTGCGCAGGTGGCGCCCTCCCTCAAGCGATGAAGGGGAGGAGATGAAGAGGGTCCGAGGGGGTGAGCGAGATGGAGATGAGAGAAAACAAGGGAGGGAGTCGCCAGATCTGCCCGCCCGCGCGCTCCTAGCTGCGCGCCGCCGAGGGAGAGAGTGAGGGAGGGAGGCAGGGGAGGGGGAGGCGCCACGCCAGCGTCGAGGCAAGGGTGGGGAGCCGGATCCGCGGTGGAGAAGACCCAGCGTGGCCAGATCCACGGCGGAGATCCAGCGCTGCCGCGGAGGCGAGGGATGGTGAGGAGGAGGACGGATCTCGGGGCACCGGATCTGCGTCGGGGTGGAGCTCGGGGCCGACGCTAGGGTTCGGGGTGAGGCGTGAGGGAGAGGCGGAGAGGGAGCGGCGTCGGCGCTAGGGTTTGGGGTGAGGCGAGGAAGCGGCGCCGGCGCTAGGGTTCGGGGTGAGACGTGAGGGAGAGGCGGAGAGGGAGAGGCGGGGTTCGGGTGAGGCGTGACTGCGTGAGGGAGAGGCGGAGAGGGAGCGGCGCCGGTGCTAGGGTTTGGGGTGACGGGTGAGGCGTGAGGGAGGCCGTGGCTGCACGCCGGGCCGCTAGCGGGCCGTGCCATGCCGACCCACGTGCCTGGGGTAAGGCCCAGGCACGGCCTGCTCCTCCGGGCCAGGCCAGCCCGGACCCGCTAGCTGTCGGGCCGTGTCCATGCTTGGGCTGGGCAAAAAAAAAAAGGGCCTTGGGCCAAGCTGATGGGCTGGAGCTGCATGGCCAACTATGTCCTAGAGAAGGAACCAAACGCCTCCAAAATGGTCAGCAAGGCAAGATGCTAACCGGGAGTAGTACTTGGTAGCATTAGCATGTCGGCGCGGAGACGGCCAGTGCGTGGAAACCGCGATGCCGGCGCCGTGTCCGCCGCCGCGGCGCTTGAGTACGACGACGATAGCTGCGACGTCGTCACGGTGGACTACCGCTTCTCCATCCTCGCGGTTCGCCGTTTCGTCGACCAGCTCTCCGAGGAGCAGGAGGAGGTGGTCCGGTCCATCGGCTTCGAGGGCGTGCTCTACCTCACCAGGTGCAAGAAGCTTGACCGTCACTTCTCCGCCTGGCTCTGCAATCAGCTGGAGCTGGTCACCGCCGCGGCGGCGCCAGGGGCGTCCTCGTCCGCGCCCGTGCCACTATTCCTGGCAGACGCCACCGGTGAGAAGGTTCCCGTCACCGCGCGCGACGTGCACGAGGACCTCGGCTTCCCGAACGGCGAGCGGCAGGTTGGACTCGGGCGCAACTCCACGGAGAAAGAAAGCGACGCGGCCGCCGTCCGCCGGGCGCTGGGCCTGGACCCAGGGGAAGCACCTACACTGCAACTCGCGGAGGCCGTCATCGCTCGGAGAAGAAAGGACGCGCCGTCGCCGGGGCCGATGACGCAGCCCGAGCGCGACGCTTTCGTGGTCGCCTTCCTCCTCCTCCTGGTGGAGCACTTCTTGGCGCCGGGGCCGCCCGTGGGCCGGCGCTGCAAGGTGAACGAGGAGGTGTTCCACGCGGTCGCCAACCCATCAGAGATCCACCTCTACGACTGGGCCGAGTACGTCCTGGAGGAGTTCCGTCGCTGCGCCGGCAGCGTCCGGCGACAGGTCACGTCCCGGTGTTCCAAGATCTCGCTCTCCGGTTGCCTCCTATTCCTTCAGGTAGCCTGTTGTGTTGTTCTAACTTGTAACATTCATGTGACATTCATATGACATTCATGTGAATACATACTACAAACTCTCAGTTTGGGTATTTTTGCCGTTTGGTGTCATGCTTCATTTGCAACCGTCTTTTCTGCAGATTTTCTATTTAGATCGATTGGATTTGGAGACGACCAATCGCGAAGTACCATGTGGTGTTCTTCCTCGCGTAGCAGCCTACGACTGCAATTCTATATATAACGCGATCAACCTGGACCGGCAACCTGAATGGCCTGAGGGTGGCCTCAAACTGTTTGGAAAGCTTAAGGTTCCTGTCTACTAATTAGTAGTGTGTGCATGCCATGTCATTGAACACAACTGGGTCTCATCACCCCACTATTACTCGCATTTGAACTGGGTTAATTGATGCTTTTCCTGCAATTACAGTTCGCTGTGAAGCACGCAGCACAAACAGATGATTTTGGAAGCACCTCCAAGGGACCTCAGCCATACCTGCACTCCTTTGATGTAAGTTTCAGTGATTTCTTCTTTGAAGTATGCAACAAAGTTCCTGTCTTTTAGGACAGTATTCAACCGCTTGTTAATGGTGGAGAGTTGCGCAAGGATATAGTCGAGCTTGGCATGGATGGCCGCAGGATCGATGACGAGGCCATGGATGGCGATGCCTCGGGACTGATCTCTGATACCAATTTGTTATGGATTGGCTACGGTAGATGGATTAGCAGAGAAACCCTGGATAGCCGCCGTTCCTCGGGGACTATCTTAGGATTTCTTCTTGCTTGATTACAATCAATACGGGGTCCTCTCTTTTATAGAGATGGCTGACTTGACTCCTAAGGAATATTCTAACCGAATCAATCTACCTTATCCCTTTCCTAACAAACCAAATCAATCTAATCTAATCAGATCAGGCACTGTTCAGCGCTACAGTTTCGTGTGGGCCCCCTGGGCCGGCTCCACTTGCCATAACAGAGATATAGAATACCTGATTTCAGCCTTGAAAATAGACCAATATTAAAAAAAAACTATTTTATTGGATTCAGGATACTAATGTTTAAATTCTTCTCTTGTTGCAGTCAGAACAGCATGATAGTACAAAGAATACAGACATGCTATCAATAGTGCATTGTATTGTCAAATGCCATGTTATTGAACAATTAAATCGGATTTTGTCTGAGATGAACTCCAGTGGACTACACAATAAACTGAATGAAGGAGAAAAACATCAGCCTCTCGCCTATGACCAGCATTTGCCTGGTGAGTCAGATTATTTCTCTTATTGTACATATTAACATATATGAGTAAAAGAGGCTGGGGTTTCATCATTCTATCTATTAAGACAGGTATATTTTGATCAGTATGTGGTGCTTCTTATGCAAAATGAGTAGGGTGTTACAGGATTTGCACAAACAAAATGAAAGGTTTGTATCATTCCTATTTTTCTCAAAGAATTGGGGCTTAGATTAGTGTTCTTTCTTGTCATGTAGATGCCGCTGAAGGTACTGACACAGTCAATGTTCACTCCTATTCTGGCAACACTGCTCCCTGGTACACAATGCTCTACTAATAATCATATTGGAGCGCTTTATTCATAATTAAGTTCTTGTTCAGCCTGATGTTTGATATTGACTATGTGTATATTATCACTTGCAGGGTACAGGCAGAGTTAAAACCCAAAGAGCTACTTAACAATCTGCAACAAGTAACTCAATTGGGTGTTCCAACCAAGAAAAGGAGCTGATCAAAATTTTGTGACATGATCAAAGAAGCTTCACCCTCTATATGTTATACAGATCATCTTACATTCACCCTGGATTCCATTTGTTTTGAGGGGGGTTGGTAGATACATCTACTTAGCAATATCACACTTGTAGTTATCTATTAACAGTATTACAACCAATTACTTGTTATCTGATTTTTTCCTGAAAAACTCAGTACATCAGCTATAATGACATGTATGCAAAAAAGATAGTTAAATTTGGTTTTGTGTTGAAGCAGAAAAGAAGCCAATGGTTCAAGTGACCTCATGCCAAACTAATCCAGACAGTCCCGAAGATGTGATCATTCTTGACAGGAACTCTGCTTCCAGGTACTTGTTGCTCTACCAATATCCACATCAGTCATCTTCATAATTAAGATACTGTTCTGTTGCCTACACTCTTAGGGTGTGTTTGGTTTGAGGAATGAGATGGTCCATCATCTTCTCACTCCTCACTTTTTCTATTTGGTTTGTGGAATGGAATGAGTTAATCCATCACCACCTCATTCCTCACAAGCTAATAATTAGTATATGCATGAGGAATGAGTTGATTCCACCAAAATTCATGGGATGAACTCATGATGCATCACCTCATGAAGCATAGGGTGACTACACAAACCAAACACACCATTAGTGTAGCGGTAAGCACCTTAGCTGAGGAAAATACCAGACACCGGCCAGAGTTCACCAATCGCTGGTAACCAAAAAAATAGTGGCAAGATGTCGGCCCATTGCACTTGTGGTTGATTTAGCCAGTATTATCAATGGGTAGTTGCTGTGGTCGAAGGCCTTGGTTACGGTGCGATAGGGTGAAATTGGAGTTCAAGGGTTTTCTCAGCCCATGTGGTTATTGCTTCGTCTTAATTTTATAATGCTTTCTGGAATCTCTTCTTAGGGTCGTTTTAAAGATACTGTTCTGTTTTGGGCTTGGCATTGCATATGTGCATGTTGTGCATGCAGGGTACAGTCAAGATCAAACCCTAAGGAGATATTTACCAATCGACAACCAAAAACTCAACAAGAGGTTGCATCCGAGAAAAGGAGCCAATCCGAATTTCTGGTCAGAGAAGGTACTCAATGCGGATCTCACCATGGCATGATCCAACAAGCTTCACCCTCTCCAAGTTACACAAATTATCTTACATTCAGCCTAGATCCCATTTGCTTTTGGGAGAGTTGATAAAATGTCTACTTAGCAATTTCAAATATGTATTGCTACTTTTCAGAGAGTTAATAAATACATTCAGCCTAGATCAACTAGCTGCTAGCGACAACAAATTACTGACAAGTTTTATGAGCTTTTTTTTTAGAAAATAGTCATCATATGAAACAAGAGGCATGCAAAGAGCAAACTTATGGTTTTGTCGCTTGTTGAAGCAGAAAAAAAGCCAGCGGTTCAGATGAGTTCATGCCAAACTACTTCGGACAGTTCTGAAGATTGTAAAATCCTTGATACCGATCCCTTTGAGTCCAGGACTGTGAGCTCCCATCCTAAAAACGCTGCTCCCCGGTACACAATGCTCTGCCATTATTCATAGATATCTTCTTCATAATTAAGTTCTTATTCTGCTCTGTAGCTATTTACAGGGCGCAGTCAAGGTCAAACCCCAAGGACGTGTTTTCGAATCTGCATCCAAGAACCGAACAAGAAGTTCCATCTGAGAAAATAAGTCAAACGGAATTTGAAGTCAGAGAAGGAACCCAATGTGACACTTACCAAAACAAATTTCCTGCAGCTTCATCTTGTCCAGGTTATACAAAATCCCATTTATTTTTTAGAGAGTTGATACATATATAGGGATTTATTACGGTAATCCGAAATAACTGTGGACCATCCGTTTAAGTAAATCTAGATCTAGATCAATGTTATCACACATTACCTTATAGGTGGCAATATAAGAAATATGCATTTTTTATTTTAGAAAACAGGAAACATACCTTGCAATTATATCTAACAAACATGCACATGTGGATCTGTATGTGATGGACGTCAGGACGTGTATAGTTGGTGTAACATTTTTTATTGAAGTGTGACATACATGATGGATCCCAACATGCATATTTGTTGAATTATCTTTTTCTGGAACGTGACGGATGTAGATGTGTAGCATGCAGACGTGATTAAGATGGGACCCTTCCTTGATCCTAATAGCTTTACAATTTGTGTTTTTTAATATTTAAATTAAAAGAAGCAAAGATTAGTTATATCTTCTAGTACACAAGATATGCAAAGAAACTAATGGTTCCTGCTTTCTGTGGCAGAAGAAAAGTCAGTGACTCAGGAGACTCCATGCCAAACAACCCCAGAAGATGATGCCATGATCCTTGATTCCAATCCTTTTGAATCCGACACAGCGTGTACTCCCAGCTGCAGTGGCCCAGAAACGAAGAAAGAATACATTTTTGGACGTTCACCATTTGAAATGGGACTTGTTCACCCAAAGCCACCCAAGAAACAAGCCGAAGCGTGCTTCAAGTGGTTAGAGGCATGCAGCTACCAGGACGACCAGCTTAATTGGTGGGTTTAGTCATACAGATGCTAGAATTAGTTTCCTTTTATCTGAGTATGCTTTGAATGCATCAATTTCCATTGTGATCGATCAGGACATGGGTCATTCTTGAGGAACCTAATTCGATAGCAGTAGATGGACTGCATATCAAGGTTGAGATGATGCGTGGCGCAGCACTAAAACAAGATGTTTGTAACCTAGTTATGCGTCTGTACCGCCAGCTAGATGATGAGATTTATCAGAACAGTGGCAATGCAGAACCAGGGTGGCGGCACTTTCTTCCAGCAGAGTGGTCTGTAAGTTCCTATATCCTGATAATGATTACATGCAACCGAGTCTGGGAAGAATGTGCAGATATTGTTCCATTGTACATGTTGACCAGGTGTCTGATCTCATCACACTTGTATCGCAGTCATCAGCCTTGGAGCATGGAGACAAGATATGTGATGAGTTATCATCGACAGTAAGATCCATGTTTACCGGTGCACACTTCGCATACGATGTAGGACTTTGCAGGATGGTATGATGGATTTCTAATGATTTCCGTCTAGATTTAGGATTTGTTGCAATGCATACATGTTGTTTCTCATCAGGACGTACGGCTTGCAGGTGATTGCGCCAGTAGAGCTAGATGGTTCGTGGTCATGCTATGCGTGGGATTTCATGGAGAAGCGGCTCAACATTCTTGACCCTCTCTTGTACTGCAGCAGCAGAAACAAGGAGGCGATAAAGATGAAGCACTCTTCATCGGCGCCCCAGCTTCTTAGCGCTCTCCTCGTCTGCGTATCGCTCTACTGCAACTCGCATGGCTATGATCACCAGGAGTCCAGCCCCAACAGCTGGAAAACAGAAATTCTTAAGGATTTTGGTGGAATGCGCAGTCACAGGTACGTCATTCACATTTCATTAGTGATACTGTTATATGCCGTTGGCCCAGTCAAGTAGAGCTTTAACTATATCTAATCTGCAGCAAGCCTAACACGGGCATGTACACTCTGTTCTACGCCAGAATTCGACGGCAAGGGCCTGAGGCAGACTGTCAACGAGGTAAGTGGTAATTGAACACTTGTCACTGATACTGACAGCTAGTAGAACTCTTTAATTAAGCATCAAGTTTTGGTTGCTAGTACATCCTATTTATATATATGCGATGCGACTAGAGATTAGAGAACGACTTGCATTCTCAGATCCTTGAAGAATGTAGCCTGTAGCTCAAAGTTTTTTTTCTCGAATGCGCAAAATGTTTGCGCATCTTTGTTTTAAGATCGAGAATAGTGAAAGTTACAACGACGTGCCACAAACATGGCACACTAGGGAGGGTTAGTGTTATACAATCGGCTCTGCCCTCCCTAGCATAAGGAGATCATGGACTATTACTGGTTAATCATACTACCTAGCCATTGTCAGCGATCAGACGCACTTGCTAGCGCGACGCCTTGGTCGCTCTACTTGTGGACCCGGGAAGAGGTGTCGCATTGTCTCAGCATGTGAGGGGTTGAGGCCTGTAGCTCAAAGTTGTATATTGTATTATACTCGCCGTTGGTGTGATGGACCTATATATCTTATCTTCTAAGCCTTATATTCTTGCATGCAGGGAACGATAGCAAGCCTTCGGAGGGATCTGCTGCATCAGATGCTCACCATGCGTGGCAACACCGGCCGCCCTCCGTCGATCGTCGATTACCCCGTCACGGGCCTTCTTTAATGTTAGTTATTAGTGCTACTAGCTAGAAATCTAACTACGCGCTATCTATGTTATCACCTTTCGTTGCCTAAAAATTAACTCGATCAGCCCCAGGCCCTCAGCGTGGTGTTTTGTGAATTGAGCCTCACCGCTTAAGGCTTTACTGTTGGGAACTGTTCTTCGTTCGTGGGATTGTAATGAGCTAGGGTTCAGTCTCCACCGTCCTCATGCAAAATGGTTTAAGTATAAGTGAATTGTCTATCTCTCTTCATCAGATTAAGCTTTTTGGTTAAAATAGTGCATACAACTTAATATGGTATATGGTATCAAAGTCAGAGGTCTCAAGTTTGAAACCTAATTAGCGCAATTAAATAGATTAATTGATGTTTGTCTTTATTCACATCTAAGGCCTAAAAGAGTCTCCACGTGAGAGGGAGTGTTGGAGTATGTCTGGTTGAGGGGTGGAATAGAGATGAGGTGGGATCTCTCTCTTTGTTCTAGTGTTTTTTTTTTCAAAAGCCATCGACAAGAGCATGCCGGGCATATATTAATAGAGAAGGATCGGGGCCGAATACAATCAAAATAAAAGAAAAGAAAAAACCTCAAACACTCACAAAGGAGACAACAAGACCACCACCAAAATAAAACAACTTCAACAAAACCACCAAAGCAACGACCACCAAACACCACCCTGAATACCACAAGAAGCAAGCTTCATAGCAGGAAAAGGACAGAGGAGGTTTTCATAGCGAGTCCTCCAAGGCGGGGAACGACACCCACAGGTGCCGCAAACGATGTTCGGAGAACCAAGGTTTTTCAACCCAAACTCCTAAAGGGGTAGATGCCTCACTGCAATGCCTCCAACAAGGGGAATGCTGCCAAAGGCGTCACCATTGCCAGCCACAGCCGAAGCCTAGGCAGGGCTTTCGCCCGAGAACCGCAGACCCCCTAGACCCAAATCCTGCTACGACGAGGAACCTCGCAGCAGTGCCGAACCAAAGTGAACCGCCGCCAGCAGGAGATCGCTGAGGCACCGATGAGGTCACGGGCCTGCGTGACCTATTGCCGCCCCGCCAGCCTTTAAGGACCGCCTCCATCCTACATGACACCGGCCACCACGCGAAGCCCCCACTTGCTCCTGCACCAAGCCAAGGTAGCCGCCAGTGGTGCTGCACCTTGCTGCCCATAAGAGATTTCTAGTGTTTGGTTTAGGGATAGATGGGATAGAACCACCCCACGAAGGAACATTCGGATGGCGACCGAGCAGGGCGCCTCGTGGAGCACGCGCTTGTTGATGGCGTGGTACGCCGAGGCGGCGACTACGACAGTCGGGCCAGGCTAGGGCAGGGGCGTCACGGCTCGTCAGTGAGCATGGCCATGGCGGCGGCGGGAGTAGGGCGGAGCAGGGGAAGAAGGAGGCCACGCGTTGGTAGGCTGCAGTGGGCTGCGCAGGGCGGGGCGAGGCCCAATGTCACCCTAGTCACGGGTGGGCTCGGCGCCCCCGGGTCAGCACATAGGACGCCTTGGAACGCCTCGGCAAGACGTACATGGCGCTGCACATGGAGTTCTATGGCGGTCGGGCAGCGTCGACGTACTGGCAGCAAATGACCCTGATTGCGTAGCGGAGAACGCCAAGGAGTCGCCGGTGTACGGATGCCTCGATGCCCACGGGTTCTTAGGGTACCAGATTCGGGATTCCGGAGATGAGGAAGCGAAGACGAGCATGCGACGATTGAATTGCCCGCGGGTTCTTCGTGTACCAGATTCAGGATTCCGGAGAGGAGGAAGCGGAGACAAGCAGGCGACGATTGAATGGATGAGCTGATGACAACTCTTTGGCCGGAGGCAGCAACCCCACAACCACGTGATATTGACGCCAAAGGAAGAGCGGCTACAAACACGTGTGAGTATGAAGTCTTTGATGCAAGCACCACAGAAGGCGCTCTCCATGCACGAATCCTCCCGCAGACAAGGATTTTACTATTAACTACTTAGAAATCAAGATTAAGAAACAAGTTGGTTTCAATCACCTTTCAATCACCTATAAAAGTCGTTTAGTTCTTAAAGTACTGCTAATGAAAGACATCGTTGAGTTCTTAAAGTGAATTAAGGAAAGTGTACTCCTAAACGGATGAAGAAATAACTTTGTTTATATGACACAATCATGTGAATGAAGTAAGTTATAAGTGTCTCCTCGTTTACAGGCTTTCTAAATAGTTATCGAAATTATAGCAGTAAAGTTCATGCCATATTTCGAGGGGGAGAATATTAAGATCAATTAAGAAAAATACTCTTCATTAAGAGTGAGATAAATATCAATTAAGAAAGATACTCTTCATTAAGAGTGAGATAAAAATTAATTAAAATGAAACCGTTGGAGGAGTACAATATCACAACAATCATACCCCTAAGCAAAGAAATAGCTAAATTTCTGGACCTTTTAAAGTTCCGACAGGAAGATAGCGTAGTTAGCCTCAAAGATATTAAGGTGGTGCTTAAAGCGCCATATAAGGTTTTAACAGATTAAACCCAAAATAAGATATTTGAAGATACACTATTTTTAGAAAAGATGAGAAGATTTGGGGAACATGGTATGTAGAGGTATGTAGAGACCTAAGACTTGAAGAGAAGCGGGACTGCATGCCCACTTCAATGATTCAAAACAATGAATTTCTCAATACCTGTTGATGTTGTATGACTTATACAACACCTGTTGTTGACTCTTCGAAGAAGATGAATAATGTAAACAAGGATCTTGTGATACAGGCGCCTGTGGAATCAATTGACTCTTGGCAATGAAGAGCAACAACAACCTCATATGAAAGTGCCAGTAGCTGAGGCCCCAGAAGGTCTCAAAGAATTAGTAAACTAGTTTTTCTGATGACTATGAAGTCTATGTTAGTAAAGAAATTTAAATGGAGGATGATCCCACTTCATTTGAAGAAACCATGAGAAGCGTTTACTCGTTTGAATGGCAAGAAGCTATGAAAGATGAAATGAATTCAAAGAATAACAACGATGTTTGGGACTTAGAAGTAATTCCTAATGGAGCCAAAACAGTAGGCTGTTAATGGGTCTACAAGACAAAATGTGACTCCAAAGGGAATGTAGAAAGATATAAAGCACGACTTGTAGCAATATGTTTTACGCAAAGAGAATGAAAAGATTACAATGAGAGTTTTCTCTCTAGTCTCATGCAAGAATTCTTTTAGAATCATAATGGTATTCATAGCACACTATGATTTAGAAATACATCAGATGGATGTAAAGACGACATTCCTCAACGGGGATTTATATGAAAACGTTTACATAGCGTAACCCAAAAGGTTTTGTCATGGAAGAAAAGAACATATGGGATGTCGCCTGTAGAAATCCATTTATGGGTTAAAAGTAAGTCTCTAGACAGTAGTATTTGAAGTTGATGAAACAATAAGAAAGTTTAGGTTTTTTAAAGAAAATGAGAAGGACAATAGCGTTATGCGAAGATCAAGAATGGAAAATTCATTTTCCACATCCTGTGAATAGATGACATTCTACCCACTAGTAGTGATGTTAATCTGTCATTGGAGAAGAAGTTTTGTCATCAAGTTTCAATGTCAATGATCTTGGTGAAGCGTCATTGGTTCGAGGAATCAAAATTCTCCGAGATAGAAGAAAATGGGGTGTTACGACTATCACAAAGGCATACTTAGAAAAGATTCTAAAGAAATAAAGTATGCATGCAAATAAACATACGCCTACTCCTATAGTCAAGGATAATAGATTGGGGAACTTTAAGTGTTCCAGCAACTGATATGAGATCAATCAAATGAATATGGTTCCATATGCTTCAGCTGTTAGAAGCTTGATGTGTGTACAAGTACAAGTAAGAACTTACCATGACATAGTCCATGTATCCGAGATATTTTGGCAGAAGTCTAGTTTAGATATAGATCACTGTAATAGAGTTGAGAATGCCTTGTAATTTTGCAAAGCATCATAGGCCTCATGCTGAGTAAGAAAGAATAAGTATTCTCAAATAGTTGAGGGTACAAATGTTAAGCCATGGCGAGATGTGTAGTGAAATCCACAGTAGTTGCTAACACTCGCAGTTGGAGTATTATTGTGGAAAAACTCTAAAGAAACAGTTGTGGTGTCATCAGTAATGCATACCATAGTATAGCTTGACATGAGGCTTAAGGAATAGACAAAAGGAGGTTAAGGAAATTTGTACCCGGATTTAACAATAGTAGACAACAAAAATAACCATTTAAAGTAAGTTAACTCCTAAGACAACATGTAAGTGTGCTGCCAGACACATTGACACTAAGTTATATGTTGTAAAGGAGAAAATTCAGAATCATTTTAAAAGCATTGAGCACATAAGTACCGAGTAAGTACTTGTGGATCCGCTTATCAAAGGCTAATCACCCAGTGCGTTCAGAGAACACACAGTCGACATAGGTTTTATGGGAAAGCCTATGATTTCTGGATACTAAGGGCTTAGTTGAGTATCTATTTCAAAACAGAGAGGTGCATTGTAGCTGTTAAATCTAATGGCAACTGACCGTGACGATGAAGCACGCTCTATGCACTTATCTGTGATGGAATGGGAAAAGATAAAGAAAGTTGAGTTTAAGTATGAGGTGAGATCAAGGGGTAGATTGTTAGTGTTGATCTCATCCGACTCGGCCCAATGGCCGAGTCGGGCCTTGATCCAGTGCCCTGATCGGGGGCATCCAACCAAACCAAGGTTAGTGGGCCCCCGTCGCGCAACACTATATAGAGGGAGGTGGGGGCCAGGGCGCAAAGAGGAGGTTCACCATGATCCCCACTTACTGCTCTAACCCTACCGATCAAGGGAATGCTGAAGCGGCGGGAAGTGCCACCACCGGTCCGCTGCATCACGCCTGCACTGTGTCTCCACGGGCTGCTCCCTAATCGGCGGCGCCATGGCCGCGACTGCGCTTGACATGTGGTACACCAAACAGTTTCCTTATCTAAGTTATGTATTTACCCACTGATCTGCACCTAGTGGTTCTAGAATATCTATCAGTATATTGTATTATACTCGTCGTTGGTGTGATGAACCTATATATCTTATCTTCTAAGCCTTATATTCTTGCTTGCAGGGAACGATAGCAAGCCTTCGGAGGGATCTGCTGCATCAGATGCTCACCGTGCGTGGCAACACCAGCCGCCCTCCGTTGATCGTCGATTACCCTGTCATGAACCTTCTTTAATGTTAGTTATTAGTACTACTAGCTAGAAATCTAACTACACGCTATCTATGTTACCACCTTTTGTTGCCTAAAAATTAACTCGATCAGCCCCAGGCCCTCAGCGTGGTGTTTTGTCAATTGAGCCTCACCGCTTAAGGCTTTACTGTGGGGAACTGTTCTTCGTTCGTGGGATTGTAATGAGCTAGGGTTCAGTCTCCACCGTCCTCATGCAAAATGGTTTAAGTATAAGTGAATTGTCTATCTCTCTTCATCATCTTAAGCTTTTTGGTTAAAATAGTGCATACAACTTAATATGGTATATGGTATCAAAGTTAGAGGTCTCAAGTTCGAAACCTGATTAGCGCAATTAAATAGATTAATTGATGTTTGTGTTTATTCACATCTAAGGCCTAAAAGAGTCTCCACGTGAGAGGGAGTGTTGGAGTATGTCTGGTTGAGGGTTGGGATAGGGATGAGGTGGGATATCTCTCTTTGTTCTAGTGTTTTTTTTTCAAAAAACCATCGACAAGAGCATGCCGGCATATATTAATAGAGAAGGATCGGAGCCGAATACAATCAAAAGAAAAGAAAAGAAAAACCTCGAACACTCACGAAGGAGACAACAAGACAACCACCAAAATAAAACAACTTCAACAAAACCACCAAAGCAACGATCACCAAACGCCACCCTAAATATACCACAAGAAGCAACCTTCGTAGCAGGAAAAGGACGGAGGAGGTTTTCATAGCGAGTCATCCAAGGAGGGGAATGACACCCACAGGTGCCGCAAACGACGTTCGGAGAACCAAGGTTTTTCAACCCAAACTCCTAAAGGGGTAGAGGCCTCACTACAATGCCTTCAACAAGGGGAATGCCGCCAAAGGCGTCACCATTGCCAGCCACAGCCGAAGCCTAGGCAGGGCTTTCGCCCGAGAAACGTAGACCCCATAGACCCAAATCCTGCTACGACGAGGAACCTCGCAGCAGCGCCGAACTGAAGTAAACCGCCGCCAGCAGGAGATCGCTGAGGCACCAATGAGGTCACGGGCCTGCGTGACCTATTGCTGCCCCGCCAGCCTGTAAGGACCGCCTCCATCCTGCATGACACCGGCCACCACGCGAAGCCCCCACTTGCTCCTGCACCAAGCCAAGGTAGCCGCCAGCGGTGCTGCACCTTGCTGCCCATAAGAGATTTCTAGTGTTTGGTTTAGGGATAGATGGGATAGAACCACCCCATGAAGGAACATTTGGATGGTGACCGAGTAGGGCATCTCGCGGAGCACGCGCTTGTTGATGGCGTGGTACGCCGAGGCGGCGACTGCGGCAGCTGGGCCAGGCTAGGGCAGGGGTGTCACGGCTCGTCAGTGTGCATGGCCATGGCGGCGGCGGGAGTAGGGCGGAGCAGGGGAAGAAGGAGGCCACGCGTTGGTAGGCTGCAGTGGGCCGCGCGGGGCGGGGCGAGGCCCAATGTTGCCCTAGTCACGGGCGTGCTCGGCGCCCCCGGGTCAGCGCATAGGACGCCCCGGAACGCCTCGGCAAGACGTACATGGTGCTGCACATGGAGTTCTATGGCGACCGGGCAGCGCTGACGTACTAGCAGCACACGACCCTAATGGCGTAGCTAGAGAACGCCAAGGAGCCGCCTGTGTACGGACGCCTCGATGCCCACGGGTTCTTAGGGTACCAGATTCGGGATTCCGGAGATGAGGAAGCGAAGACGAGCAGGCGACGATTGAATTGCCCGCGGGTCCTTCGGGTACCAGATTCAGGATTTCGGAGAGGAGGAAGCGGAGACAAGCAGGCGACGATTGAATGGATGAGCCAATGACAACTCTTTGGCCGGAGGCAGCAACCCCACAACCGCGTGATATTGACACCAAAGGAAGAGCGGCTACAAACAAACGTGAGTATGAAGTCTTTGATGCAAGCACCACAGAAGGCGCTCTCCATGCGCGAATCCTCCCGCAGACAAAGATTTTACTATTAGCTACTCAGAAATCAAGATTAAGAAACAAGTTGGTTTCAATCGCCTTTCAATCACCTATAAAAGTCGCCTTCAAAACAGGTCACTTGATTACCTCATCTTCCAGTGCACATGTATAAAGGTTCATGGTTCATTTCCTATACAAAACAAGTTGTTATGCAGAAAGTCCAAACATGATTCCTTATTTCGGGTTACGAAATTGCTATGCTTCTTAGTTCTGCACCATCCACCATGGCACTCCCCGGGGATCCTCAACATGGTGATTCGTGACACTTACAAATCAACAGTATCTGGACTTCTTCCCCTAGCAATTAGCTATCAGTGAACTCAAGCCTGGTCTATAACTTCTCACTCAAACAACATATTGTATTGTTCAAAGTTGCTGTAGTCTCAGGTATACACTGCTACCTCCTACGCTTTGATTCCTTCCTCATCTCTGCAGCGTACCTCTCCATGTTGCTCTTTTCCCAAAGGTGTCTTCTCACAAGGTCCTCCTTCTTAGACTCATCTGAAACACAACGTATCACATTATACAGGCTGTCCTCATTCCAGTAATCAATACAAATATAAGTGTATAGCTCAATAACTAGGCCAGTTTGGTCACACTGAAGAGTATGAAGAGTATGAAGCTTGGTCACACTGACAACCAGCACACGCTTGACCATACATTACCAACCAACAACTCCCAATGGTTGATGTCTATAATACGGTTCCTACATTCATAGATAACACAACACGCCATGGTGTGAGTTGTTTGCAAGTAGTCTAAATGACACTTAATGATTGAATAGCATGCACAACACATAACAAACGACATCTCTACAGTGGGAAAATGTTGTCTAAGAGTTTTCTCTTGTACTTTTGAGATGATTTTATGGTGAATGTATTTTGATATTAAGCTATTAAGACTACATTATGCACTACACCAATGAAGTACTTTTCCAAGCCTTTTGATGAACCGCACAATAGACATGCCAATACAGCTTTCCATGTAAAATAGCAGCAGCAACAACAACAACAAAGCCTGTCAGCCCCAAACAAGTTGGGATAGGCTAGAGTTGAAACCCACCAAGAGCCCTTAGTTACGGTTCAGACACATCAATAGTTGTTTTTCAAGCACTCCTATTCAAACATAAATCTCTAGGTATATCCCAAACTTTCAAATCTCTTTTTTATTACCTCCCCATGTCAATTTCGGTCTACCTCTACCTCTCCTCACATTATTAGCTTGGCTTAGGACTCCACAATACACCTGATGGTCTCATTTGAACATGGTCAAACCACCTCAACCGATGTTGGACAAGCTTTTCTTCAATTGATGCTACCTCTAGTCGGTCACGTATATCATCGTTCCTAACTCGGTCAATTCTTGTGTGACCACAAATCCATTGCAACATACGCATTTCTGTAACACTCAGTTGTTGAACATGACGAATCTTTGTATGCCAACATTCTGCTCCATACAACATAGCCGGTCTAATCGCCGTTCTATAAAACTTGCCTTTTAGCTTTTGTGGTACCCTCTTGTCACAAAGAACATCAGAAGCTTGTCGCCACTTGATCCACCCTGCTTTGATTCTATGGCTAACGTCCGTATCAATGTCTCCATCTCTCTGTAACATCGATCCTAGATAACGAAAGGTATCCTTCTTAGACACTACTTGACCTTCCAAACTAACATCTCCCTCCTCCTGTGCAGCTCCGCCAAAGTCACATCTCATCTATTCGGTTTTAGTTCTACCTAATCTAAAACCTTTAAACTCAAGGGTTTGCCGCCACTTTCCATGTAAAATAGCAAGATAAAAAAAACCATTGTTGTACCTGATGATGTCCCATGGAATACAGGGCACATTTAACTAGTCGGCACAACAAAACTCCATCATGGTGAAGCTTCACTGCCACAAAAGGAGGGACCATGCTGCAGCTATGCATAACAAAACTCCATCATGGTATGCTAAGCACAGCTGACACCCCAACAGCCCAACCCCAGTCAGTTAGGGCCTCGTCAGCAGTAGGGTTCTAGTTCTATTATACATTTATTTGTTAGCATTTGTTCTAGTTAGATTACGCTATCGAACAACCTTTGCCACCATAAACCTCGCAAATTGAATCTCAAATTTGTTAGATGAGTTCAATTTGCATAATTACCAATATTTTTCCATGTATTCACAGGCATCTGGAGTGAAATCCTAGTCAAGCAGCAAGCATCCTCCCATGTATATGGTAATTTCTTTACCCGGTATCTCCAAAACCAACAAATCTTCCGAGTAAGTGCCTGCCACAATAAAAGTTACAGATGAAGTTCAGTCAATATGCTTCATGTCAAATTTCTAATGAAGAGCAGGTAAGTTAAAACGGCTGATGTTGCAGGTGGGTCTCTTGTAATTTGCTCAGCTCAAAATGGACAGGTTTAGAAGGTATGAACTGACCTTGCCAATGGAGTAAGGCAAAAGTATAAATTGGACACCATACAGCCTCCAGACAGATGGTTTTTCAACACCATGAATTTGCAATTCAACTTCATTACTTAGCTCTTCTTCAACTTTCCTACATTAGAAATAAAACAATTATAAGAAACAATGCTATTATACCCACTATAAAAAACTAAACATAAACTGATAAGTGACAGAAAATTAAGCAGTAAGGAACACCTTCCAGATTATGATAGACTGCATGTAAACAACATCAGTAGAAAGAAAATTTATGTACATCCAGAACCCATCATGATATCAGCATGTACCTTCCTGAAAATACTATTTCTAAAAGAACAAAGAAATTGAAAAGCAAAGTAATCAATCAGGCCTGTTAAACACTTTCCAACATCAAATTGACAATATACAAGACATGTCTTTAAACTTTTAGATCTCTTGAAAGTAGTAGCATATAAATAGAGCTGGCATAAAGGAGCCTTGTCTCAAGAAAATAAGCCAAAAAAAGAACAAGCTTATCAGAAGTCTTTTTCTTACTTATCCACCTGCTTGTGGCCCTTCTTTTTGCTAGCAATTCCTCCTGTTCGCTCAAACTCCAAAGCTTTTAACCTATTTTTGTAAGCAGGAGTTTGCTTGACACTTTCCATGGCCTGCAATAAGGGTATTAAACTTTCAACGTTTGCATGAGGCCATGCTCAAGCATTTGTTTGAGTTTCCATTTTGTGAGTGAGCAAAGGATATAGGACCGCATTTGCTTTATGTTAAAATTCATGAGAATAGGGCATATATAGAGATAAATAATGCATTAGATAGTTCTCTAGTTGCAAAGCTTTCCCATGTAAACATAAAAATCAATATTGATTAGAGAAAAATTACAGATGAAGCTTAATACTGTATCTAATTCAACAAAACAAGTTCAACCTACTATGCTACGTTTTGCCAAAGATCAAAACTGTGTGTACAGTTTTAAACTTTAAATGACGGCAGCATTGAGATAGTATAGTAAAAAGTTCAGCAGAAATTAAGTGGAAATGCTGAAATAAAAACAAAATAGTCAACCTTATATTATAGTAATGTGCAGATAACTAAAAAAACTGCATCCACTCTTTTGAAGCAATATAACTGATGGTGTGTACAAATTTCTTAAAGCATGCTCTCTGTCAGCATTGAAATTCTGAATGTGTTGAGCATTTGGTCCATAAACAACAAATACGAAACACAGCTAAAAAGTTGACAACTTTATATTTTCCTTCAATTCCCTGTTCATACCTGGTTATACCTTGTTAGCTGATTTATGTATTGAAATGCTGAAACAATTAGAAGAAGACCAATCAACACAGCACGAGGATCCTACACATAGGCAGTGCAGTTAGTTGTAGTACTATCAAGGAACATTGCTGCACAAACTTTTCATGGATGGAAAAATCAAACCGTTTTATGTCCATAGTATGCCCTATAGTACTGAGCTGTGTTATAGAAAACCTGAAATGAACGGGACACACAATCAGTAACAGTGCACAGATGTCACAGACAAAAATCACAGAACCACTCTTAGATTTTACCTTCATAATTATTAAATATGAACTCTTGTGAAAAAACAAAATTTTGAAATTTCTCAGATTTAAATAAATAAATTGAAAGCAATAATCGATTTCTGAATTAATGCTCCAGTTTTCAGGTTATGGGTATCCATTTTTTTAGAAAAAGTAAAGTTAGGTCTGTTCAATGAAAGTAACTATTTTTCAGAAAAAACTGATTTCTATGTATTTTCAAATTCAAACTTAAACCCAGGATGAAGCTGAGGTAGGAAATTAATTAAGTTAACAAATAAAGTAGATATAGCATGTATAATAACTAAAATAGTACATATGTAGCATACTTCTCCTAGTTTTGCTACCCTTGCTAGGCTATACTGGACATGTATTTCCACATTAGCTATTACAGATATAATAGTGAGGAAACCACATAACTCATCAGGTCTTCCGTGGAGCACATAAAAAATAATCCAGAAAGAAATGTTTTGGGAACTTCAGATGAAGGCATAACAAGAAATCTAGCGAGCAACAATGAAGAAAATACTGAGGATGGAATTATAAGGAAAAATAATGTTCACCATCTAATAATGTGTTTACTGAGGTCTGAAAAGGCTAAAGATCTAATTAAGTGTAATTCACTCATATAAAAAGTCGATTTGGACATCTGGCAGATAAAGGCTGTGTTTGGATGCCATATAGATTGTGTAAGGTGGACTTCTCTTTTTTGTAGAAGCTGGCCAAAAGCTATGTGTGTTTGGATTCCAAGCTGGATTCTAGAAGCTAGCTTTTAAAATCTCCTAGAATCCAAACAGGACCATAGCTCAATCATTCATATCTAATAATGTTAGCAAAAGTACACAGTAGTAAGTAGTATGTAAATAGGTAGATAAATAGAAATTAACTGCACATAATTATTTAAACAAATAAAACTATGTGACAATGGAATGTGAAAAGGTGGGTACATTCTTACAAGTCTTTGCTGCTAGTGACAGAAAGCAGAAAAGCATTTGGGCAACCACAATGTATATGGACCAAGTAGTCCATATACATGGAACCCACATAGGTAGTCCATAGTTGGTATTATATGCTCACAATGTCCAGCCAACAAGGTAGTCCATAACGTGGGTTCCACTAGAGATTAAGAATTATTCTATCCAACCATCCCCTTCACCTACACAAGAGAGAGAGAGCAGAGAAAGAAAAAATAGCATTTCTTTATTCCTTATGGGTAGTCCATATGCCTATGGACACCTTTTGTTATAGACAGCTATACGGACTACCTCCACAATTGTTCAGCTAGCTGGTAGAGAGTATTCTATTCCCTATGGACTACTTTGCTGCCACATTGTGGTTGCTAATGGAATGATGAAGAGTTGATAATAGCATAGTTACATTATTTTCATGACAGGGAGGGAATGCATGTTTACCTCCTCTGGATGTTCAATGGCATAGTCATACTGCTCCCTAGTGGATTCATCCTTCAGAATCTGATGGATAAAAACAATTATAACAGCTCAGGAACCAAACATTTGGAAGGGCAAATTAGGACAGGGGATGGGTTTACCAATTCAAAGGTATAAAAAATTAAGAATCAAACAAAGGGCAAGGCAAGATGCAAGCATTAGTCAGCAGCAACATGCCACACAAAGGAACTATATAATTTCATCGTGCAAGATCAGTATGTTTATTACGGTTCCATTTTAGAAAGGAGATATAAATTTGCACAAATCACCTCGACCAACTGCAATGAAAGTTGGTTTTGTAAGTTTCAGCTTCTGATGCAAGCAGGCTTGTCCGCGGGTCCGCAAATAGGCATTTTTTTGTGAATTCTGCGAAATCCGCAAAAAAAAAATGGCCTATTTGTGAACAAGCCTGCTTGCATGAACAACTTGGCAAATATGCCAAGCTATTTGCAAATGTTATTTCAATTATTTATCCAGAGGTAGAAGTTCTTGAGCCAGCAAACAATATGATCAGCAATTACTAATAATCTCAGCTCTGTTCTTGCCATGGGAATGGTTCTTGAGCCAGCAAACGAAGTCATTAATTACCAATTTCATATCAGCACTGGTAACTCATAAAAAGAGTTATTCGATCAAACCTCAAAGGAAAAACTAAAACTCAGAGGACTCTGAACAAATTAAGGAAATAGATTTCAAAAAGTAAGAAGGAAAAACTGTCACAACTTGCAAATATAAGGACATGTATCAAGGAGAAGGAACCATGCATTTGCTAACTCATAAATCACAGAACTACATATTTAAGGACATTTCAGCCACCTCAAGTAACTGGAGATGTGGTTATGTCACCTCAGACAACAGTTGTCAGAAATGAACTTAAGAAAGAGAACTCTTAAATCTGTGGTTCTGCATTAAAATACAATGCCAAACATGTAGTTCCATGATATATGTCTTCAGAATTGTGGTATTGTGATCGTTTGTTCAGATTACATCTAGTGTTGTGGACTTTACCCAAGTATAAAAGGTATCCATGCCAAGAAGTTCAATTAGCTCCTACTGCAGGTTTCATAGCTTGACAAGTGCCTACCATTTTGGAGTGGCATTCCAAATACTGTGGTTACTGTACCGATTTGAATAAAATAGAATAATGGAATTCATTAACATATCAGTGCACGTGATCAATGTTCCACCATTGGCACCAAAGAGTGGAATTAGACATAGATCTTGGGCACCACGAATGGCTCAGCCAGCCAGGAAGATATGCAAGCAAGATCCAAATGGGCAGGTGTGTCCACGCCAGACCTCGTAAGCATTGGCGATCTTGACGAAGAGCTTCCGCGACTCCGGATCGGGGTTCTTGTCCGGATGGCTGCACAGCACAGAAATTGCAAGAAACGATCAGCGTCGGGTCGAATCGGGGGCAAGAACCGAGGAAGGAAGCCAGGAACTCACTATTTGAGAGAGAGCTTGTAGTACGCTTTCTTGATGTCCGACGCGTTCGCGTCCTGCTTAAGCCTGCGGCACATCGATTGCTGAGCGGGACAAGGAACCAGCCAAATGGAGGGGAGGAGGAGGGAGATGAGATGGTACCCTAGGAGGTCGTAGCAGTCGTCTTCGTCGCAGTAGATGGCGTTAGAAGCGGGGAGAAGGAGGAGGAAGAAGAGGGAGAGGAGGTGGGAAGCCGCAGCCATGGAGGCGGATCCGAACTTCAAAGACAACCTTCGTTACGAGGAGGCGGATACAGATTATATGTGTCTTTGAAGGTTTTGTGGTCGTGATTCAGTCAGTATTTTCTACCCATGTAGTCTTGAGCCTCGGCCTGCTTCGACAGAGTTAGGTCCCAGGTTGGTTGCTGTCTTTCGCATTGCTTGGTACCCTGAATGCCAAAAAAAAAAAGGGATCTAGGTGGGGTTTTGATCCTATGAGACAGTGCATGGGCTGTCTTTCATATTGCTTGATGTGTTCACATTGTTTGGTTCTGCTTGTCCAGTCGTCTGGGTAGGATTTTTTTTTTTATTTTTAACACATTTTGTAAACTAATTTTAAATATAACATTGTTTAATTTTTTTTTAAAACTAACGATCTTTTATAATGCGCGCCTAAAAGTTTCTATTTTCCATGGCGTCTTGAGCCTCGGCCTGCTTCGACAGAGTTAGGATGGTTGGTTGCTGTCTTTCGCATTGCTTGGTACCCTGAATGCCAAAAAAAAGGGATCTAGGTGGGGTTTTGATCCTATGGCAGTGCATGGGCTGTCTTTCATATTGCTTGATGTGTTCACATTGTTTGGTTCCACCAGTCGTCTGGGTAGGATTTTTTTTTATTTTAACACATTTTATAAACTAATTTTAAATATAACATTGTTTATTTTTTTTTCAAAACTCGCACTGAGGATCGGCGCGAATGCAATGCGACCATGGACCCGGGCGGCCGCTATCCGGACGCGCCGCGGTAATGAGCAGGCACTGCAGCTCCGACCCCAACGCCTTCGCGGGCTGCTTCGGTGAGGATCGGACCCCATGGACCCGGTGGCATCTCAGCGAACGCACTGCAGCTCCGACTCCCAACGCCGCTTTCTCGACCCTCGCGCCAGGGGCTCGAGCGTGTTTCTAGTCCGACATGAGGTCGCACGTCACGGTCGACTATGCGCCCAACCTTCCTTCTTCGGCGATTTCGTGGCGGCGATGACCAAGCTCAGGAGGATCGGGGTCAAGACACCGGCCACCGGCGGCGAGATACGCCGGGACTGCCGGTTCCCGAACTAGTTGCTAGTTAATCTCGCCGGCAGTGCTGCCGCGACGTTGAAACAAATATGAAGCAAATAAATGAAGTCCGTGCGCAAGTTGACAAACTGTCACATAACATTTTTATTGGTTCGACATAAGTTCTACATAACATATCCAACTAAGCCTGCAAGTTTCGGACGACAATATTCGTTCGACCTAACAAACTAAGACCCAGAAGTGTAAGGATCCCTCGGACGCCTCTGTCTCTTTGGATTTGTTGACAACACATTGGGAGTGTAGTCAACGTCGGTGTGGTCGTATTGGCGGTGTGTACGGCTCGTACCCTACAAATATATGATATGCATGATTACTTATAATCTTTATGATCGTTAGTTCATGGAGCCAACGTATTTAAAGAAACTACATTTGTTACTACCTGTGATGCTCCTTGGGTACCAAGCGGGGCACCACCTAGCTGACACATGCCGATCTCGTCCTGCGGCCAATCGTCCCACTAGTGCTGCCGAAGTGGCAGCCCGGGGTCACCGACCGTCGAAAGAGACGTTTGCTTGTCCTCAAAGAGCTAGAAGATGTGGTGTACACCCGTAGAAGTGGCACTGTCACACCGATTGGGAAGAACCGGCTGGTGTCCTCAAAAGCTAGAAGACGTGTCCATGCGCATTGGGAGCTTTCCACCCAAGGAGTGTCCATGCAGCTAAGCTTCTGAGCTAGCTTTCTGCAGCTCCGCTTTACCTTCTGCATAAATAGACGTTAAAGTTAGTGCACTTCCCAAACACATATACACTAAAGAAATATTTTTGGAACGGACAAGTTTATGTTTATCTCCACAAAAGCCTCGAGAATGCCTGGCCCCTGCCCTCTAGACTCGTGAAGCCGAAACGCTGCTTCGTTGGACATCCTTGATAATTGTGTCGCCTGGGTATAGAAACGTGGTTGGACAGTTTTAGTACACACACTTAATACCAAATAGATAACAAATTATACCATTCGAGTATCTTACCACGTATCTTTGAAGCGGGGCTCTCTGTAGTTGTGTGTCGTCCCTAGTGGCAACGTCGTACACATCTTCGATCATATCTTCCTCTGAGTCCTCGTCAATCGCCTCCTCAGTGTACGGGGCTTGATATGTGTCCTCGTAGACATATGAAGCCACCGCAGGTACTCGTCGAAGGTGTGCTAGTCGTGTGGGGGACCTGCATGGACCGGCTGCCCATCCCTGTTCTGCCACAACTGGATGTGCGCGTTGTGTATCACGCGCCAATCATTGGTCTTGTACCTCTTCCTGTGGTCATACCTACAACAAAACGATGTTAGTTGTATCACACACACCTCTGAATTGTAGATTTGTTATTAATCGATAACGCACCCGTGCAATTCTTGGTTGGTGGAGTAAAGCGGTGGTGGGTAGCCTGTCATTCTTCCAAACTGCCTGCAAACCCTGAATGGGCAAGTGAATCTCGACCACGTGAAGAAAATAAGAGGGACGTTGCAGCGATACTCGTCTGACTCATCCCTAGTGATAGGACTCAGATAATACTCGAGCTCCGGAGCATCCCAAAGACACCAATGCACCTGAACATTTCGTAATTGAGTTATGTTGTGATATAGTATATATCGAACAAGACACATTTATGATAGTAAAGAGAGCATAACCTGGTGCTGTGTTAGGACATCGAGTTCGTTCGTGTACTCCTTGTACTTACGCCTCGCATTCCCTCTAACTAACGCTGCTTGCGTCCAGATATACAGAGCTGTAGGAAGTGTATCCTGCCCGTTCCATTGCTGCATTGAACACGATAATGAATTAGCCATTAATAATTTTGTTATATGTAACTGTCTCGAAGAATATAGTGAATCGAAGTACTTACCGGTAAACCAGTAGCAAGGGGCCTCCCAACGGGCCATTGTTTCCAACACCAAACCTGGAGTAGGTAGGAGTAACCCCCAAGGTTCGCATACCCTGAGGTGCGACGACAGGCAACGCATAGCTGTCGATACATCCATGCCAAGACTGCCCTGCCCCAGCTGTACGTCGCTATGTTCTCCCATGGGTGGCGTATATGTCAAGAAAGATCCAGCTAATGGTGTTGCCCGAGGCGTCTGGGAATAGGGAAGCATCAAGAAAGTGCTAGAGCCACACTCTAGCGAACCCGTCGATCTAAGCCTCATCAGCTTGTGGGTCTAAGTAATCAAAGCGCTCTGTGATCCAGGACGACTCGATCTGAGCCTCATCAGCCTGTGGGTCCAAGTAATCAAAGCGCTCTATGATCCAGGACGACGAAACACCGGAGCTTTCCCTGAAATTCACCAAAGAAAATGAGACTCGATGGCTGCAGGAAAGCAATGCGAGTATTAAATAGGCTTGAATTGCTCACTTATTTTTCTTCGAAACCTCGTCGTCCGGTGGAAGAAAGCCAATGAGCTGAGCCACAAGCTCCCTCCAGTGATCGTTGTCAACTATACCTGTCACTGAAAGTCCCCCAACCGAAGGCCAAAGATAGCCGTCACGTACTGCATGGTCAAGGTCATCTCGCCGCAAGGTAGGTGGAACGTGTGGGTCTTAGGGCTCCACCTGTTATAAGAATAAAACGACTGTTAGTTGTCTCAAATTTATTATAAGAATGTTTACGTACAAAGAAGGCACTCGCACATGTCTACAGCTGCAGTAAGTAGTGCTGGGTCAAGGGACGGAATACCGTAGTTGACAACACGGACAAGCTCGAGGAAGCCGGCACGTTGTTGTACGGTGCGTAACGCTCGTCCCACTGGTACGCCCTGGTGTGCGTGCGGGGCCTCAAAGGAGGCAAGGCCACCTCTGTGTCGGTGTCACTCAAGATGTGTGCTCGATGCTGGTCGTCGTATTCCACCTCAAAAAGGGGATACAACGGGTGCTGCATGGAAGGGACCATCCTGTTACAAATTGATAAACAAAGGGTTAGAGTATTCAAATTAACAATATTCAAATTAACATTATGTAGCATTGCAAAATTTAAACTACTTGTTATGCAATACGAACACAATATGAAAGCACATGTATATATTCAAAGTAACATTAACAGACATGTTAAACAATTTTACTAGAAAAATAAGCATTTGACGAAACTTTATCGAGTCATCCAAATCGCCATATCACGCACTACTAAGCACCGACACTTGAAAACTAGTATATATACTGACAACCTTTACTACTATAAACTAACAAAATAATAAATACATAATCAATCCCTAAACCCAAAATCCTAACTAACAGTAACCTAAACCCTAACTACCTAACCAAATCTTAACTATACTACAACACACAACCTAAACTCTAAAAACTACCTACCTAAATAAATAAATTCACTAACCTAACTATCCTAAATCACTAACCCTAACTAAAACAACAATCATAATAACATAAAATCGAGAGAGAGGTACCTTGATATGAGCGGACGGTCGGCGGCCGTGACGCGCCGGTGTTCGTGGCGCTGCCGGCGTGGGCGCTGCGTGGCGGGAGTGGGCGGGCGCGGGCGGGCGGTCGTCGGAGCGGCGGGCGCTATACACTTGCGTCTTGGTGGGGGTGGGAGTGGCGTGCGGCGCGCGAGATAGAGGGAGTGTGGCTCGCTGGTGATATTTACCTGGGACTACCGTGCCGTTAGGGATGGCGCGGCACTGCCGCGCCAAGATCGGTGGCGCGACAGACCCTGCCACGTTACCGGTCAGCAGCCCCGATCGTCGTCACGTCATCCTCCTGTCGCGCCACCATGCCCATAGCAATAGACATAGCCAAAAGTGTTAGTTTTGAAAAAAAAACAATATTATATTTAAAATTAGTTTAAAAAGTGTTAAAATAAAATAAAAATCCGTGGGTAGAGAGTTGGTTATGATAATTTATTTCCATTTTTTCTCCGCGTGCACCTGCACCCACGTATGTGGTGCCGTGCCGGGGGATGGTTTCTCGCGTCCTC